ACAAACAAAATCATTACAGCATCCATATAATTATTTCCTGATTAATGTTTTAAAGGATGATACTATAAATAAATGCAATCCTAACATGTGTACTTGAGTTAACAAGAGAGTATTGTCTAAAGTAGTTTATATAGGACACATATTCTAATAACAGGGCTGTGATTTTGCTTTTATTTAAGGACTGATTCTCGTTTGTTGACAAAAGTGTTCACAGACAAACCTAAGTAATCGAGATAAAAATACTTAATATTTTAGATGTCCTTTCTACTACATGTACTATTCTTCATTATAAGCCAGCTTCATAAAAAAGGAGTTTGAAATAAGAGTATGATAGGGTAAAAATACTTCCTCATATTCTGTATAAACATATTTAATATTACACAAAGTCTAAAAGCTATTTCACCCAGGCAATCGAAATATAAATAGATTGTTCAAGTAAATATACTAAAAACTGAAAACGACACATGTGACAGGTCATTTAATCTGTGTATAAAAATGAGAATTATATATAAGGATATATTTCTCATGCTGTATCTTATTGCTGGTCTATACATATAAGTTTAAGATTTTGATTAGAAGTTATTTAGAATTAAAGTTTATCTAAACATTAAAAGTATTATACATCAGAACGTTCTTCGCTTTATAAATTATGAATATATATGTTTTCTATTTAATATAGAAAGTTGCTTATCATTCACTATCAAAAAAAAACAAACAAACCGACAAGTACCTTTTTTTAGAACACATATTGAGGAATGGTGTGCAATTTATTCATGAAATTACTACATGTACCACGTGATTTATTTCCCATTAATATTCATACGACACTGTATACACTTGAAATATTCTATTTCTAAATATTTTTATGTTAAAACTTGTAAGCCTGTATCGTTTTGTATATTGTTCAAGCCTCCTTCATAGTTACATGGTTAAATGTTTTTGTGATTAACAGCTGACGACTCAGTATATCATTTTTCATAGAGTTCATCATAATCTAAAATTTTGCCGTTCTCTAATTAAAAAGGCGGTCTTTACTCCTTATGAAATGGTAAATCACGTGTATTTTATAAAAAAAGGCTCTCTTCTGTTCATTTAAATCGGCGGAAGAAATCTGTCAACTTGCAATAAACACTTACATTTTATCATCAAAAATGATAAAAACACCAGTTCTGCACTCCTTCCTTCATTAAAACAATAGACTCTCGCTTCGAATTTAAAAATCAGAAAGGCAGTCGCAACTTTCATTTTGGTATTTACATTCTTGACATTTCCGATAGAAAATATTACGAAGAATCCAACAATCAGCGGAAGAACTTTATCAGAAAAAGTAAGTTTTTTTGTATTTTCTTTGTATAAACCTTTATGGAATCGGCCGCAGTTATTGTTCCAAAATGGCTTATATGCAAATGAGCAGAATGAACACGATTTTTTTTTCTATGAACGAATTTTACTAATCGCATTAAAACTTACGTTACACAGTTTGTGTTTTATATTCTTTAAGTGAAATATATTTTTGAAAATATGTTATGCATGCGTCTGATTTTAATTGATATTTTATGCAGCCTAAATTAACTTGAGTAATTTATAAGATTTAAGAGATTTCGTGTCTGTTTAATTTTCATCCGACTTTAAGTTTCAATTTCTTCATGACTATATAATCTCCATCATTTAGACGCATGTCTTTTTAATACATATCAAAGCGTTGTGATGATCAAGACTTATTTACATGTTTACTACAATTGTGTCCCGGGCGATAATACTGTTATCAGATGTTATTTCAACGCCAGTCATATGATTTGATACTCAGGGTCTGTCATCAAGATGTAATACAGCTCTTCGGATAAAGTAAGTGTTACATGTAAAATGATGAATTTATTAAATACCTCTAACAAGCATTTTGTCAAGGAACTTTTTTGTTGCGCAGGAAACATAACGTCATGCTTATGTTACTTCGCCATCAAATTCAGAGAGTCGTGATTGCTTTAACTAACCCACATATGTGGAGGTTACATGTATATCTACTCAGAGTGATTCAGCCATTGTCTCGTAAAAATTCACAAAAATACACATGTATCTTCAATTTTATTCATAATTATCATTTGTGCCAGGCTAATATAAATTCGATTTAGAATTTTAACTTAAAGCGACTGTACGGTTGCATGTCATGCGCTTCTTCATTCAAATTTACCCAATATATCATTAAGGAATGAGGTATAAGGATGAATTCAGCAGTTTGGGAAACATAAAATCTCTCACTTCATACTAAATTAACGTAATTAGAATCTGCCAGAAAATCAAGGATTGTACAACTTATATCTATTTACCTGTACCACATGCGTACTAAAGTGACACGTGCATACACTGTGCGTCCTGTAGTGTTTAAAATTATGTCATCTTCATGAAATTGAAAAATCTGGAATGCAGTTATGCCTTATATATGCATGATCTTGATTCTGCTAATCCACGCGCTCTAAGCCCCGCGCCTCTACATTTGTCCCGACCCGCACATGATTTTTCTTAACTGTGGCTACCATTTAACCAGTGCATTTATGAAAAAATAAAGTACATTTACTATTTGAGATTTTATCTCTGACAAAGACATTCGAAATTTAAATATTATAAGGTAAAAGCAATTCTAAAAATCAAAATATTTTAACTTTTCGATAAATCAAAAATCGTTAACATTGTAGTCTGCCTTCAGAGGAATTGCACAGAATTCAGTACGTTTTGCGTCTTGGGGTCAAGGGGAGGAATATCTATCATCGCGGCAAAATGTCAAACAAAATGCTTTTCTGCAGTTCAAATACAATTGGCACTTCAAATGGCAATAATTCTTACATGTCATATTAAGTGCATTTTAATGCTGAGTTAACATTGATTTTGTTCTCTTTGAAAGCCAGGGATAGACGATAAAAGATAGCTTGTATCAACAAACCTGTATAGTAGAACCTTCGCGAGCCCCGCGGGAGTATCGACGAGACCTCGGGTCATATTAATTTTCAAACATTTTTTTTCATTAGGAAAGTTGTTTTTCCTTTTTTGGTTGACTTTGTCAATGTGGCATACCCACCGGGCTTCCACCTCTTATCATGCTGTTTTATTTATAAAAACTAAACACGTTGCAATGTATGTATTTATGGGCCATAAATAATAATCAATTTTAATGAAATTATCAGAATTATTTACTTATGAAACTTGTCATTTTATAAAATTGTTTTCATTCATGAGTGGTAAAAAATTTCATATCATATCTAAAAATTCTTTAAAAGCCAGTTTTTTTTTAAGAGATGCGCCTTACAGTTACTTCAATGGTAAAATAAGTAAAGCACATTTAAACAGCAATCCACAGCCCTGCATTCAACGTAACTAAATTTTTTTTACATGCTATGTATGATAGGAATGCAAGCGTAGAACTTTACACTATCCGGTCATGCCAGATCAAGTAAACAGTGCCTTGTCGTCATATGCTACACATGTTGCATGACGTCATTTCTTGGTAGTTAAGAGAATTTACTAAAGTTAATGTACTGCGATATTTGCAAGATTGTTCTTAGACGTCACGAGTATGACGACCTTAAAACAAATGTTATGGACATCATCAGCTTACTCTCTCTTCTTGACACGTGATTTCACTTCAAAAAGTCCAGAAGGTCTTTTTTTCATCCCAATGTGTACAGATTTAAATTGTTGTTTGCATATTTTAAGTTCACTCTCATTATTTTCACATATTTGATTAAGCAATTAAAATACACAAAAGAGCCACAAAGCTACTTCTTTGTTTTACAGTGTGTTCAGTATGTTTCTTATATCATCATAAATCTCAATTTCATAATTTCTTTTAAAACAGAAGTATGTACTACTTAAAGCAAAAGTAGGAATGTAATCAACAAGTGTTAATCAATAAAGGAACATCGAATTACGACAATATACAGCTCAACGCACTTTTTAAACACACATGTTTTTTTCGCACAAATTAAAGTAACATTTTTCTTGCAATAAGACCTAAGATTATTGAGTTTCATTACGAGATATTACTCTTATATTTTTAAATATTTCATGTTAAAGGTGTATATTCTCTAAAATCATTATCTTTAGTTTTAAAAGTTAATGTTCTAAAAGGGAATTTGTTTATGAATTGTATGATGTTAAATATTTATGATTATGTCATAGGTATTTAAAGAAATATTAATTAATCGATCTTTCTTTGATACTATTTAGAAGAAATGTTCAAATTGACTTCTTACAGATGAGTATTTTCTAGGTACTTCGCACATTTTCTATACATGTCTTGGTTTTGTCGAAATGCAGCGCCGAAAAATGACAAAACTGCATAACAAAACCAAGTGAAAGATAGAATAATAAAGTATTGTTTATCTTTCAACATAGTAAATTTTAAATATTAAAAAGAATTTTTTTTTCTACATTAATGGTCTGAAACTTTGAAAATTTGCGTTGGAAGGTATCTTTCATGATGCTTGATTTCAGGAAGTAACCTGCGAAAATACCATCTTTTTAACATGAAAGCAGTCGAACAGATGAGAAATCATTTTGACCTAGTGTAATATTAATGTACATAAAGTACAGAAGTCACATAAACTGCACTGTTTCTTTATTATATATAATTAAGGCAAAGCAAAAGTTAGCTTTAAAATGAACGGATACAAAGACTGTTGCATTTGACGAGAAACCATGAAAAAAAATATTTGGAAACTCTCATAATATATCATCCAAGAGCATATCAAAATTCTTCTGATTATTATGTGTGAATTATGTTTAAATGGATCAAAACTAAGTTATAAATCATTTTTAAAATATTTCTGGTTGTCACGTTACGCAATTTTGCATTATAACAATGTGACCTCATTTTTTCCCGAAAAACCATGTGAGTTTAAAAAGTGCGTTGAGCTGTATGTTTATAGTTTCTATTTTTATTCCCTAATTTATAATTTTAGTATTAAACTTCCTGGTGTATACACTAAGAGTTTAGATCAAAACAAGAGAGCTAGAGTAAATAGTTTTATCAGTGCCTCGCAGATGATGCTGTTCACATAATTTTGAAGAAGAGTAAAATTGCCCTCTTCCACAAATTGAAGATGATTAAAGTCATCCGCCTGGGCCTGTTGTTGATTCAAATTTTATGCTCTGTCCAAGGTTAGAAATATTACTTGTTTTAAATCAATTTATTTGTAGACAAAAAATCAATTTATGTGTATGTACAAAATATGTATGTTTAGGGCTGTGTTGTGAAGTCATATAGAAGTGGATTATTTACTTGCATATAATAGCATCTATTAATTTAAAGAATAGATGCATTTATTTTATGAGGAAAACTTTGTTGCTGCTATTTGAGTTGGGTTAGCTTGAATTTAATTTAGATCGGGTTCGGGATATATCAAATTCCCCCTATTTGCCCTTGATCCGAAAACGAAAGGTACACGAATTTTGTAGCAGACAGAATTTTCAAAAAATATGCTTTCAATCACGATTGTTTCTTAAATAATTTTATGAAATAGTATAGACAAATATCTACTTTGATGATTAGATGCACGGATGGATTATTCTTTTTCGCAAAAATGCGAGATTAGCTTGGATTGAAATTTTTCATGTCGGCATACATGTGGCATAATTTGTGTTAAAACTAGGTTACGTTTTAGTTTAACAACAAATTGTAAATCAGATTTAGGAATATTTTTGTATTAAATTATATATTTTGAAATTTAAAAAAAAAAGGGGGGGGGGAGGGGGGCTTAATAGCAGTAAAAGTGATCAAAATATTACAATCGGTGTCTATCAATTTTCGCAGCCTTTATTCAATTGAACATTTTCAATTTATACAATTAGGGATTTTTTAAGTGCATTTTGCAGTAGAGTGCATTAATTAAAAATATATAAATAAATAAAAATAACCGGGGGGGGGGGATCGGAAGCAAAGTTATAGCATTTTCACCTTTAGGATGAACAGGGAATATTCAAATATTGTAAGTTGTAAGGCTAATGTTCGGCATCAGTTGGGCTATATGTTTTCATGCAATAGGAACTTAGTTCATCTTTGGCTAAAATAATGCCTCCACATTAAACAACACAATCAACCAACAAGACAAGCCAATGCTTTATTTCAAACTTCAGAATTGATGTACTCTTGAATTAAATTCAGAGATTCTCAAGTGTGTAATTGCCCCTTGGTTTCTTTTGGCAATTGTAAAAACAAAAAAAAAAAAAAAAAAAAAAATTATCAAATTCATTGGCAATCAAAGGTAGCTCACTTGCTCATTGAGAGCTATGCTAATTATTTTTTGCTGTGTAATTAGTCGTACAATGAATTTGACAGTACAATCTGACTCAAGGGTATTCGCTTTAGCATTTTAGGGACATGGAATTATCCCATGTTACTGATGCACTTCATTTCATTCCTGCTTATGCATTCTTCACTTCTAAGGCTATAACCATTAGGAATAAGGGAACTGATATGTATTTTATTTATCTGGGGTTTGGGGTGAATTAGGACTAGACTTATTAATTAAGGAAAATGACAAATCATTGCTCAGTTTATGTTAAAGAACATAATCTTCTGTATACTGTATCCAGTTGCTTAAATCAGAAATTTTCTTCTTCTAGCTATGGTAAGTATTTAAGGTTTGTAGGTGTGCTGTGACCCAGAAAAATAGTAACTGAATCGTGTAATATCAATTATTCCTTCTCAACTACTGACAAGGTAACTAAATATGGTTTTAAATAAAATGGTTTCACTTCACAATTAACAAAATATACTGGTTCAAAATATTCCGGTTTAATTCCTGTGTTTTACTCAAAATTTTGCCTGCCTTTTTACATATATAATCTATTCTTGATAATTATATTTTATTGGTTAAAGAATTAAGTTCATGGAATATTTACATCACTGATGAGAATACTAAAACATTAGGGTTGAAAATATTACTGATAAACTTTGGACATTCAAATTCATAACACATAGATAGTGGAGAAACATGCAATTCATTCAATATTTGGGGAAAAAAAGGGGGGGATATTATTGTTAGACAATTTATGTAAGACTCTTAGCTTCAAAATTCTCAAGGAAAAGTATGAATTGGATAGGGTTTTCAGTAGAAGAGTGTATTATACACCTACTAGGGAGAGCTGCATATGAGACCATGATGAAATAGGAATAAAACAGATTTAAGAGTATCTATTCAGTAAGATTTATTATTGCAAGATCAAGTGTACTAAAGTTATCAAGTCAAGTACACATAAATATAATCTGATAAAACATGTAGTATGGATAATTTAGGGACTAAAGCATAATTTTTGTTTCACTAGTCATTTTTTGATAAACAAGAAGGCAATTTTGTAAAGGACTTGAATTTTTGAATTGATTTCATTACTACATTAGCTTCATCTGTTTTTAATATACAAAAATTTGGCCAATTGATGTGATGTATTTCACAATAGCAATTTTCTTTGGTCTTAATTTAGTATTGTGATCAGACATCTAAACTTGATTAGCATGATATAAGCCTATGGATTTCATTCAAGATATATACCGGTTTATCATAGAGTAAATTTAATTTTATTGCTTATCCAATATTCAACAAAACAGTGGAAACCCCTACTTATAAGATCCAGGGGTAGAAGCATTCTAAATTCAACCTATTGGAATTTCACAAACAGTTTCAGTCAGGGAAAAATTGTAGGAAATACAAAGCTATTGTTATTAATGGATTAGAAATTATAGCATTTGTCAAAATTTTCCACTAAATTATATTAGATTCATGCCAGGTTAACATATCATTCATACAGAATCAAGAGGAAAATTCTATTTCTCTGATTTTCTCGGCCATAAGCTTTAATGTATGACAAATGTTAAATGATTCACAGTACTTTTTAGGGGGTAGTACTTGTTTAGTGTATGAATTAAACCTTAACTAACAAGAAAGTGCTTCCTTCTGATCACATTTTCAATTTTGGATGAATTAAGGAAATTTTTAATTTTTGTTTATTCTCCATACCTTTAGGAATGTGATGTATAGTACTGTTGGTAATTTAGGAATAATGCACTGTCAGGCAAGGTCAACACAATAATTTCTATTTATTTTTTAACTACAGGGATAATTAAAATACATGTGTAATCATTATTCTTGCAAGCCAGTCTGATTAGGGGAAAGGGGTTTTGCTCGGTGTGTGAGCCATTTATTAGTAATACTTGTCCTGTTTCTATCATAGTTCAAGCAAGTGAAGTTACACTATTATTCCAATATGTTTAGATCTGTAATTGTCATTAGAAGTGAACTTTAAAAAGTTCTTTATTCCTGATACATTTAATTATCTATAAATATCCAGTTTATGATGTATAGGCTCACAACTCAGTTATACGGATTAGTTTGGTGAAAAGGCAATGATTAGAATAGAGGTAAGAAGTAAGAACAGATGTCATGTTAATAAAATTACGATATAATGAGAAGTAAAGTCATTTTCTGATTTTAACTTTTTATTATGAACATTAAAAAGATAGCATATCAAGTATCATTATGAAGTATAATTCCAAGATACCATTTGAGTCATTGTTGGGAGTAAAACATTGAATGCTGCAACACCTTACTTATAATACATGTGAGTACCATAAGCCTGGAGAGTTAATTTTCATGTAGAAGCTAACCTATTATAATACAATTAACAATTGATTTATTTCCATAAATAGTCTTACATGGTAAGTTAAATAGGTTTTGTCTAGAACAATGTTGCTTAAAGTAATACTGGCTTGAATAAATTCATGCAGCTATTGAAATGAGGAGGGTAGATCAGGATCAGCCATTTTTATTATGGGACAATATTTTGTCTGCATATAAAGGTTTCTTAACATTTTGGTACATGTAATCTTTTCATGTTTAATATATGAACTATTTTGCTATAAAATAATCCAATGTAAGTTAATATAAAACTTATGCTTAATTTCTCATACCTTTACATATTTAAAACATCAATTGAAGCAAATTGCATATTTTCGGTCTATTTATTATTTAGCTGTATTCAACTTAAGACGAATTGGGGGTCTAGATTTATTTCTCGGGGTTTATTTAAGTTTCCCAATTAAATAGGTTTAAATTTAGGGCGGTTGGTCGTGGGTCAGTTGAATGCGGCTTCCCCATTTTATGGGGTGATCGAAACCTATGGATTCCAAAGGTTTCGGCCATGTGGCGTTTGCGCCGAGCCATTCAACTGATGCTATAATTCATTGTGCTGCTGCTGCTTAAAACAAACTCATTTACTGTGAAAATGTGTGCTGCTTTCAACAAATTAATGAATTGGTCTGTTGTGCTTGCTTGAAACAAACTCTGTTCCTGTGCAAAATGCGTACATTTTTAAACAAATTTCATGCACTGCTTTGCTTGCTAAAATATTTTTAGTAAAGTTTGATAGCCCGGAACGATAACTACATACATGTAAACTTGTAAAGTTTATTTAAAATACATGTACATAAAATTTAATTGTAAGGTTAATTACCGTTCGCGGTGTACCCGGAACGGCCATTATTATGCTTATTATAAGTACATGTACATGCAATATTATGCTTTCATGTTGCTTGCTGCTGCTGCTGCTTGTTGTAATTTGGGGTCGCCCTTTACGCTTGGCGACCCCTTGCTGCTTTTAAATATGCCACGACCAACAATCGCCAATATCAAAATAAACGTGTATAAAGTCATGTTTGTTTTATTTTCCTCTATATAAATAATAGCATCTATTAATTTAAAGAATAGATGCATTTATTTTATTAGGAAAACTTTGTTGCTGCTATTTGAGTTGGGTTAGCTTGAATATAATTTAGATCGGGTTTGTGATATCTCAAATTCCCCCTCTTTGCCCTTGATCCGAAAACGAAAGGTACACGAATTTTGTAGCAGACAGAATTTTCAAAAAATATGCTTTCAATCACGATTGTTTCTTAAATCCCATCTCTCCCACCCCATATGGTAGAGTAATGGTAGAATATACATCTTGACATTAATCAATTTAAGAAGTTTTGTCTGCTGTTGGGGTTTTCTCTATCATTTTAGGTTTGACTTGAATATTGACTCCACTTGGAAGATCTTCGTCGTGGCATTCCATGGGCCTGACCTTGTATGCTGTAATTTTGTTTGCGTGTTTAGCCTCGCTTAAAGAGTCCTTGATGAGATTCCATTGGATTACGATTGGCTTTTCCCCTTGTCGTCTCAATATTCCGTTTGCGCCGAGCCATTCAACTGATGCTATAATTCATTGTGCTGCTGCTGCTTAAAACAAACTCATTTACTGTGAAAATGTGTGCTGCTTTCAACAAATGAATGAATTGGTCTGCTTTGCTTGCTTGAAACAAACTCAGTTGCTGTGCAAATTGTGTACTGCTTCCAACAAATTTCATGCACAGTGCTTTGCTTGCCAAAATATCTTTAGTAACGTTACGTTCGCGGTTTGATAACCCGGAACGATAACTACAAACATGTAAACTTGTAAAGTTTATTTAAAATACATGTACATAAAATTTAATTGTAAGGTTTAATTACCGTTCGCGGTGTACCCGGAACGGCCATTATTATGCTTATTATAAGTACATGTACATGTAATATTATGCTTTCATGTTGCTTGCTGCTGCTGCTGCTTGTTGTAATTTGGGGTCGCCCTTTACGCTTGGCGACCCCTTGCTGCTTTTAAATATGCCACGACCAACAATCGCCAATATCAAAATAAACGTGTATAAAGTCATGTTTGTTTTATTTTCCTCTATATAAATAATAGGTATATAGATACTGCATGACCTTTACAATGACTTTCTTTTTCAACAGTTACGCATTATTTTATCTAAAGAGCAAAGATGAGTCACAGTAAGGGGTTTCCATAATGTTATATAAAGGATACTTTTAAACAAGATGCTTGCCTTCATATGATGTTAGTTAGGGGATTTATTTTCTATGTAAAAGGACTTATGAATAAAAAGTCAATATTGTTAAAAGTAGGATGAGAAAAATTAAAAATTAAGGGACCAACCGGGGTTTCTATTGCGCAATGTTTCGCACATCATAGTAGAATGCAGCGTATTTATTGTTTAAAAGCAATTTTATTCAATAAGTTATAAATATGGAAAATGTCCCTTAAAAATACCTTGAATGAAGACTTTTCGAATAATATGTTTGTATTATTGTTTTCGCGCAAAATATTCCCACTCGGTTCCCTTAAAACTCTTTCCTAATGCCTTAGTCACATTTCCTGGCCGATGGCCATAGACCGGTGGTAATTGGTGGTAATCCGTGGTGTGAGCGATGCCCCAACATCGGTCCACATCGGCCTAGTAGTCCTTAAAGTATTATTCACATTTTCCAGCGATGGAGTATACGATAGGCAACCAATGCCTTTTTTTAGTTACAACGGACTTACAAGGGCCAAGCGATGCATTACCAATCATAAAACGATATTCCAGGAAAAAATATATTACATCGCTCAAACATTGGCTAACATCGTTTGCAAATGATCGGCCGTTGTCTGTTGCCAACCAACAAACCAACGGATGACCTCAGATTCAGGGGACACTTATGCCTAGGTCACATCTGCCGGCCGGTAGCCGTAGACCGGTGGAAATCTGTAGTAATCCGTGGTGTTAACGATGCCCCAACATCGGTACACATCGGCCTAGTAGTCCTTAAAATATCAGTCACATTATCCAGCGCTGGGTATACGATGGGCAACCAATGCGTTCTATGATAAAAATGGCATGGTTGCCGGTAGGACTTAAAAAGGCCCAGCGATGCATTGCTAATTATAAAACGATGTTCCAGGATAATCGGCTGATGTATATTACATCGCTCATACATTAGTGAACATCGATCGTACATCGGTTGACTACGTGCCAATGTTTCCTCGAACATCGACCGATGATCGGCCGTTATCTGTTGAACACTACTCAACCCTCCGATGACCTCAGATTCAACGGATGTTGGACGATGCTCGGCCATACATCAGCCGATCCTTGAAAGATGTCTTAAAGGTGGGTTGCCGATTAGGAGCGACGTGGGGCATGCGTGGAGACATCACTGATTTTTAAGTTCAATTTATTTCTACCGATGACCCCCACCGATTGGTCAAATGGCCTCTGTCACTGTTCGATTACTATAGGTGTCCGGCCGGCAACCACGTCATCTGTTTCTCTTCGTTTACCCCATCGCTGGATAATTTGACTGATACTTTAGTCAAAATAACCTTATGCCATATGAAATCATTCATTCATATAGGACATTGTTGTCAGAGCTCCGGACTTAGGCGCATAACTGCAAAAACTGTGCATTATTGCTTGAGTGAGGAAAACAACAGACATTGATATTCAGCTATTCGTCAAATACAGCTTCAACGTCATCGTTTAGTCGGGGACATCAGATGTCCCGAATTTCAAGACTTAGCCAATGTTTCTACAAAAGAATAATGATTTGACAGTCGCCTGTGAGGGTTTATCGCCGGGTGGTGAGAGTTAATTGCACGCTTGAATAGTTTACCGTCGACTATTATGAGATAGTAGCGTAATAGTTTGGATGAGACAAAAGAATCCTGTTATCCAGCAAAAAGGAAAAAAAAGACGTGTCAATTCTTTTCAGAGAACTAATTGCCCTGTAAAAAGTCCATGTTGTGACTTTTTAACCCAATCCAATTTTCCACCAACGGAATACATACTGTGGAATCATTTTTATTCGTGGGGGTCAATGTTCGTAGTCAAGCAAAATTTGACCTGTTCGTGGGGACATAATTTCGTGGGTTTCTCATAAATATGATAGTTCAATGAATCAATATGTTAACAAAATGAATGTTTGAGGGGATGTAAATTCGTGGGTAAGGGTGACCCACGAAATCCACGAACATTGGTCCCCCACGAACATTGATGATTCCACAGTATATGAGATAAAACTTAGGGACGATCGTTTTACCAAACCTGTCAGCTTCATGTGACGATTTAGGCCAGGAACTCACCAATTATTAAAATAAACACTATTTACAAAGCATTCTTAAACATTTAAGTGACATCTGTGATATATTATATTTATCTTACTTATTGTAAGACATTTATTTATACAGTTTCTCGATTAAAACGAGGAGCACGTGGTTGGTGTGATCGATCGGCATAAGATGCTTAATTATTTCCCCATGTCTTATCCCACCTCTGACGCTTTTAGATGTCCATGTTTACTCTCCTTCTATATTGTATCAATGGATTTTTGAGCTTGGTTACTGTTCCTAATCTCCATGTCTTATTTACAGAGCATTTAAAATGCAACAAAAGACAATAATTTGACTAAGCTAAGGTAAATTTTAGTTTTAAAACATCACGCAACTATATATATTTTTTGCTTTTATTTGCCCCCCCCCCTCACCCCTCAGATAAAAAAAAAGTATTTTAGGAACTAAGTTCACATATACGATATTTTATTTATTTCAGGTCAATATTTTAAAATATTCACTAAAATTATCAATGGAAATCTGATATTTACATGGAGCAATGTATCAACAATCCACAATATTATAACCATCACTAAGGATTCTTCAGAATCTGGCTGGATAATGGTTGATGATGACCAATACAGAGTGGAAGATGTTACGCTATACAAAACCGTAACGATAAAGGTACGGGAGTTGTACACATCACAAAATTATAAAGACTACAAAAAGACATTTAACAGTAAGTTTATTTAAAAGTTCTATGTATATTTGAAAATATTTAATATGGAAGTATAATTTGAAAAAAAAAAAACCAAAAATATTTCAAATTTTCCGCATATTAAGATAAAATAGGAAGTTGCATCAATCATGTTACTGTCTAATGAAATGGTCCAAATAATTTCAATGCCGAATGTATCACTAAAATTCAGGACCTAGTTGCCACATTCTATGCAGAGAGACTGAGTGTATATGACTGAAATTGGCTATCAAGTACTGCATATTTTGTGAAAAAAAATATCTGATATCCAGCAGAGCTTGTCCTATTCCTTTACCTTAAAGTACAATTTCATCAAGCATCATCCATAAGCTATATCAAATTTAAAACCATACATGATTACATTTGTTTCCATTAATCAAATAAACAAGTAACAAGTTAAATGATAAGCAAACAGGAATCAAGACATTAAAGGTTTTTTGTGATTTCTTGTTTTTAATGATATGTTTTCTGTATTTTGTCCAAAAAAAAATATGTAGGTAAATGATATATCGCGCTTCATGAGATATACCTATATATACAAGTCTGTGTGATTTATACAATAATAACTTACACTAAACTTAAAAAAAAAATTCTTCATTAACATTTGAAAAAAAATGATAACAAAACAGAATTTAAATCATATAGTCATATTGAAATATTTTACAATAAAATTTAGCAGTTTCGTTTAATGTTATAATTTTGGTTCTATGGTCGGTAAAATGACCTTCATCAAATACAACTTATCATAGCATCAAATGCTGATTGACATTTTTCGTACCAATTTTTAGTCTATTATTTAAACACTGAATTGACGAGGGAATTGTCCGTAAATTTCCTGTCCACAACAAGAAGTACAGGGCTGCAAATTCATCCATGGCACCTGATCCCACCTCTGTTGTTTTAGGGTCCGTGCTTGCTCTGCTCCGCTCCTATTTTAAATTGTTTTATTGACTTTTGAATTTAAATACTGTTCTTTATCTCCATATGTTTTATTTCAAATATGGTTTTGATTTAGCAAACACAGAAATATCACGATATGCTTAAATAACATTGATGTTATGTGTTATTGATTATTTTTTTATGATTTTTTTACGGGGATATTTCCTTCAATTCAATTAAACTATCCATACACAAGTTCATGACATATTTACAAAGCAGTTAAAGTGCGCCTATATTCCCATGCTAGGTTACTTAACACTATCGTATTTAGAATCTGACAGAAATAACTGTTAACAAGCTTCCCTGTTTTCATTTTATGATAATAGCGTTGTTTGATTTTATCCAACCTTCCCTTCTTATCTGTAACGATAGAATTGATGACATAGAAATTTTCTCTTTAAATCTTAATGACACTTAATGTAAGTGTTTTTAATTCTAAAGGAATTATTTCTTTATTTGTACTATACATTAAGGACATTAAACCTTTTGAAGCAGTGCTTATGCGTTTTATAACAAAAAATAAGTAATTTTGATTAATTCTAAATTATATGGCCGTAAAGTAGAAAAAGGTGTCATTAAGAAATATAAGTAAACATATATACTGAAAGAAAAAAGAAACGCAGGGTAGCTTAATATTCGAAAAAAATTTCACCACTTGACCGACAATTACGAAATTTGGTCAGATGAGAAACTTAGTTACTATGCACCGAAATAGGTGTTCAGAATTACTCAACCGTAAGCATTATGACGTCACATAGGGAAAACACTAAAAAGCCCAAAACATGTGCAGTTTGATGACGACGAGTTTGTCAACAAATCTTGTTGCACCATTTGATGCACCTGAGGTATGCCCCTTGTTTTTCAATATTTAAAGACGATATGAATTTCTTGCAGTCTTGGTGCAGTTTACAAAAGTTCGATTGGGTTTGATTTTCGAACTGCCCATTTAATGAAAAAGGCAACAACGGGTAACATAGCAGTTTCTTGTAAATTTTCCCACATAAAACTTATTATTCCTGTCAGAGAGGGCCTAAAATGGTTTTCAACCAACCGTGACGATGATGTTAACGCGAAACAGAGTCATATTACGAGCGGGTTATTCGTCCTGTCATCTCTTAAATCGCCACCTTGCTACCCTTAAAATCGCCTTTTATAACGTAGACTATCATAATCATTACGTTCACACGAAAAAGAAAGAAAATAATTCCGCAATTAGGTTTTTTGAGCCGGTCAACTTACTGATGTGTTCCTCTCACTGACGCATGCGCGCGTCGTATGAGAATTTTCTTTGCATGGTTACCCATGCCGCATATAGCCAGGGATTGAAAGATAAACACTCTGGTGAATTCCATACAAAGGAAAAATAAGGGGCATGACAGATGCGCTGGAGAGGCATTGAAGACAATTAGAGTTTTCGATTTTCACTTTTGTGGGGTAGCTTCATATGAACGTCAATGACTCATTTGATATTAAACAAAATCATATGTGATTTTGGTTATATCTTTTTGAAAGATGGTTTTAAAACTTAGTTAGGAATACTGAAAAATATTAAAAGAAAAATAAATTTAATTCACCTCAAAAGTTTACCCTGCGTTTCTTTTTCCTTTCAGTTATATTATTTTCTTTTGTTTTTCTTTCAAGTAATAAGATTTGAAAGCAAGTCAAACACAACAACAACATAAAAGTAAATAATTCAACTGAATTAGGATAGGAGAGCTGGCGGTCGTATGACCGGTCGTATGAGACAAACTCTAATTTATGAATCCATAAACTGTCATTTTCAGCAATGTCATGAATTAAAATGAAAAATATAGAAAGAAAAGATATTTATAAACAGTTTATGTTTACTAATTATTCTTTTCCTAACAATATTCCACAATAACAATCAAGAAGATGTTTAGCCACAATACTCTTTCATGATACAGTGTAATTAGTTTGCTTTTAACAATTGGGTTTTTCTTCTTTAACAATTGCCTTACTTTTCCTTCTTTCTTTTTAGGCAAAACTGTAGAATCTAAAGAGGGTGAATCGAGAAACATTTCATGGACTGAAGATTATTTTCCTAGAAGTGGGATTTACTTAGTTTTTCATGCATATAGCAATTCAGTATCAACGATAATGCAGATAAGAGACAGTGACCCGTCAACTGAAAAGTACGTTTATCACACCCGACCCGTGGATTCTGTTTATATACAGTTTGAGGTGATGAATATAACGCTACAAGATGCCGGATATTACGTAGGAGGTATCTCCGAGGCAGATGCTTGGTCAGGAGGGGGAGTTGTTCTAATTGTTTTTGGTAAATTCTGTGATTTTTTTTATTAACCGGATTGCAAGTTATCTAATGTAAACTTCCTACAGCAATTTGCTTATGCACGATAACAATGGGGAAAGTTGCTAAATTGTTGTATACCGCTATGAAATCTACGATTGTTTATTAAACGCATCAAAAATTATTTAATTAAGCCAGTTGATCCAATGATAGCAGGTATACATAATGTCAAGGTTTTAGACTACGCTTTCGCTCCTCCCTACCAACTGGTGTAATTATTTGAACAAAATTGAATTTAAGGATACTTCCGTACAACTAAGACTTATCATGGCTTTGCCATTTTGATACAAGATTTTGCTTAATTTGGGATTGATATTAAATTGAAGGATTAAACTGGTATACATAGATAAATGAAGAGAACTAATACAGAATATATTTAAGAAAAAAACTCTATCTGGTGTAAACCAGTGGTAGCGAGTGTTTAAGATTTGTACTTTACAAGTATTGATGATGATTTTATAATTCAAAAAAGATAAAATTTTAATGTACTGTATTACGGTTACATTTAAGAAATTCTTTGAAGTAAATTTTAAAATTCAGGAAAACCAGTGAGAGCACAAATAACTGGGAATCTGAACGCTCAAGTCAGAAAATATGCCTACCTGAAATGTGAAAGTAGATCTACGTCTGCCCCGTCCTATTACAAGAAGTTTCCGCCATTAACGTACTCATGGTTTGTCAACAATACTAAGCTAAATGGAGAGGTCAGAGAGACCTACAGGTTTATTGTCACCAAAGATGTTAAATACAACCGATACAGCTGTCAGGCCAAGGAAACCCTAGAATCAGAAAAAAGTGACGAAATTCAAATAAACCCTTTATGTAAGTATAGTGGTAATTTTTAACGTACACTATCGTATTTTAGCAAAGCATGTGGTAATTTGAATTATCTGCGCGTCTTGGTCAAGATCGATTGATTTAAGGATGAACCATCAGAAATAATTTAAATTTTTAGATTTGATATCTTAAGCTGTCAACAATCATTTGGCAAAAAAATAAATTTCAAACATAGAAAATAATTGGAATGGCCTTACTTTTAAAATTTGATCGTATTTTTCTTTACATGAAACTCTTATTCTAAAGGAGATCAAAATAGTCTAAAATGGCCATACTCCAGCCCCTTTAACATAACTGCTTAACGCTAAGTCAGATAATTTCAGTCAAGTCCCTTTTATCTTTGTACAGAGGTAAGGCAGTTCACCATTCAAGAAAACAGAAAAATAAATAATTTATAGAATTATTCATGACAACAGTGAAAAGAAAATCAACATTTGATTTGAGTATTTTTTCCTAACAATACTTGCAAATTTATGGCTTTGAAAACAATTAAAAAGATAAATAAAATCCCAATAAACCTGAGGGAAACGAATTAGGGCAGGTATATTGCATGTCACTAATTCTGTTGAGGTGGCAATATATACATTTTCATACTTTGGAGTTTCTTGCTCTGACATTAGCTTGCAGACTCATCATTTCACGTCTGTCCACTGGATACTGCCAGTTATTTCGACGGGTACCTGCCTGACTGCGATGAATCTTCATTTTTTTTTAATTTAAAGAATTGGTTAACAAGAAATAATTAATTCTGCGTCTACACCAAGAAATTCCGTGAAAATAAGCTGCATTAAATGGAATTAATAATAATAAAAGGGTAGAGAAAAACTTGCCCTTTCCTCTGCACTCAAGGCATTAAGTAATGAGGGTTCTTTTGCGTGCCTATGCCTGCCATTGCACGACCGTCGTTTTCAAGGTCTCACCCGAAAGACCCACAACACTCGCTTCAAAATTTCGAGCGCTTGACAAAGGAACGTTTGCAAGCAATATTTCATAGACTAAAGTCAGTGGTAGTCGAGATACCGTTAAACTAGCTATCGACTGAGTTACCGTGACGGTCGTTAATCGTTAACATTGAGAAAGTATTCTTCATCATATTATTATTTCTTATTTCTCTCTTTCAAATAGCATTTATCATGGCCTCTTAATGCATTGTAGTACATATCAAAACTAATCGAAAGTTTGAATTAACATTTTTTAACCTTGAGTCTGTGAAAAATTCTATTTGAACAAATAGGATATAAATTCGTTATCAAGGTTAGATGAAGGGTGTACGGAGTTTTTTGTTCCAAGGTGTATGGAATGAAACCCTGTAAATATCCGTACACCCTTGATTTCACATGGATAAGTAAAATAGACTTATTTACTATGTAAATCAGATGTCTGATAAACAATTTCATTTAATTTTCCCAATTGAAAATGTAAGAATTCCAAACTTAGCCTGTTACCATGTCAGTATTATTTTTCTCTTCAAAGATGGTCCAGAAACTGTACTTGTAACCCCCGAGCCACCCATTGACGGACTAAGTGTTCATGACGAGGAAACATTTGGTCCATATAATTGCTCAGCTGACTGTAACCCACCTTGTACCGTGCAGTGGAAACTCAGAGATCCGTTCTGGGGTTTTAGAGACGTTACACCACTTGGGACGTCTTCAGTTACTGTACCAGAGATAACAGCGAATAGAACTAGTATGGCTATGATAAGATGTGTTGTAAACGGCACGGAAGGGAAAGAAGTATCATCCATCAAGCTGAACATTCAGTGTAAGACTCGTTTAAGCATAACAAGGTGAACAAAATCCAAAACTAAAGATATGAAAACAAGGACTTCCCTGGAATGCATGGAACACAAACAAAAAACCTTATTCAGTTTTGCTATATCATGGAATGAAGAAAAGTATTTTTTTCTTGGCTTTTTTTTTCTCAAAGATCACAAAAAGAACGTAATTTTTATATGGCATAATTTTAAACATGACTTTTTTCCGCAAAAAAACAAACAAAAAAAAAACAATTGATTAGACTGATTAACCTTACTTAAAATCAAATATATTCCGATTACTTTATGCTATTTATTTGATTTTGAAGCATTAAGATCAGTAAAAATTAACCTAATGTGAAGTTTTTACGTTTGATTTTTTTTTATTCTTTAACTTAATGAAAAAAAAATTAAGATCAATTCATATTCAAAGCTATGTCTTAATGGCATTTATTTAATGGCTGCCTAAAGTGATTAAAGCCGATTTCGAAAAAAAAATATATTTGATAAAACCAATATATCTTTAGATTACATCCTGCCATACAGTGTTTTGAAGCGGAGGGAAAACTTTAAGTGAATTTTAATCAATGAGGGGAAACCAATGCATGTATGAAATTCTCATCCAATATTCTGAGTGCCAGTGACTAAATACGTACATGTCAACCTTTTATTCGCGTGAGAGAATTATTCGCATGTTTTGCAACTTACTTTAATTGGCGAATATTAATCGCAGCGAACCATTTATTTTGTTTTGCATTTGAAAAGAATAATTTTGCAGTCGCAAAAATCCATCATCGCGGATTTATTTAAAATTGTAGAATCGCGAATGAAAGTTGAGGCGAATAAAGTTAATTTACAGTAACTAATTTACCTGCTCGATAATTTGGTTAGATTTTCCGTTGTCTACATTTTGGAATAATGTTCTTTCTGCTTCATTTTTCAATACCTCCCAGCATGGTCTATTATAATGTCACGATGTTCTTCAAAATATATATATTTTTTTGAAATTTCTATTCGTAAAACGTACAGCCAAGTCTGAAAAAAATAAGAAGCAGGAGAACAAGGTCCTATCTTTTTGTGAAATGTCTCTTGTTGAAGATATCCATCGACTGTTTTGTCTGCTGTGCAAACGGCAGCAATGTTTCCTGATACAACTTCCAATGTTTTGGAGGTCCGTCATTGCTCTGCCTATATTTTATATTGTTTAAGGGAATTTCGAACTTGAATACTGTCCGTTATCTACATTTTTTCATTACGATATGTAAGTTCTAAGAAACTCGGTAGGTCAGGTGTCTTTTGATAATTAATAAGATAAAAGAAGTCAAATTGTTCTTATGTTAAAAAGAAAGAAAAAACTCATTAAGGACCATGCATATGTACTGCACTCCCTTCATGGGACAGGCTCTAAACAATTATGCCTGCTGGATATCGTAAACAAATCATAAGAGGTGATGGTAAATTAATATTTTTAGAACCTTTTTTATTCTGTTAGGGCATTCCGTAGTACAAATCCTGTTATCAAAATTACTTCATATTTTTAATATATTTTTTTCATTAGATTTATCGAATCCAAAGATATATATTAATGGCAATCTTCAAAATAGCCGAACCGTTGATGAAGGATCTCCTCTATTTTTGGCATGTAACATTGAGGGAAATCCAGTTCCAGTTACTAACCTAAAAGAACTCACTGGTAACGAGATCTTGGAGCAACGTAGTACTACCTGGTTAAACCACACACTGAGAAGGGAAGCAGTGTGCTCTGACACAAGCACTTACAGCTGCGAGGGAAGCTCTTCAGAGTTTGAAAGAAAATATCAATCATTCAATATCAATGTTCTTTGTAAGTAAACTTTATGATTTTATACACATTCAAATTTAACATTTCAAAATATTTATCACAAATCTTAAGGGAATAATAGATGTATATTATTTTTATCATTTATTTCAAGCTCTGTAATTGGTTCAAGCTTGATCATTTGATCAAGTATATAATAACATATAGACTTGAGTTACTATTTATAGAATCTGAAATGCATATTGACTTGATGTTCCTAAAATTAGAGACATCTTTCTGTAAAAACAAAAAATAGTAATGATTTTACAATATTAGCTAATACAGTGTATGAGGCGATGTGTCTGAAAAATATACTTCATCTTGCATTAATAATTTTTAATGTTCTGTAATTGATGAGACGTAACAATGCCTCGAGTTTGGATCTACTTTATAAAACATGTTTGATATGTTTGTCAAAAATTGATACAAAGTATAATCAAATAAATGTAGCATTTTGGATAAGTAAATTATCTAAATTACTCCATCGATATAAAGAAACACAATAAGTATTTTGATCTCTAGTCTCTTAAGTGTTAAAAAGAGAAAACTTGTGCCTTCTACCCATTGTTTTTTCTTTTTGTTAATCTGTGTAAAAAATAATGTAACAAATGCAGCCCTTTAATTTGACCAATCCATAGATTTATTATGTACCTAATGTGTATCACCCAATTTTACTGTTGAATTTACGCTATCACGTGACGTCGAGATCCGATTTTCCGGATCATCAACATGTTGTTTTCTGAACCCATATCACCACTCTCTGAAACTGATGACGTAGTACGCAGAAATATGACGTTATATTTCTTGCGCGTTAAAAAGTCCCTTGTTATTATGCTTTATTTATGGATAAATGTTATGCAATCGATCTGTAAAGTTTTCTTTGCTATATTTTGCTAGTTATGTGGGGTTATATAATCAATTTATCATTATAACAGTAACTTGTTCCGAAGAGCGTATCACATCGAGTTGACAGGCGCGGATCATCAGATCTAACGAGACGCGAAGCGTCGAGTTCTGCACCTGTCAACTCGACGTGATACGACCCTTCGGATCAAGTTACTATTAAAATAATATATATATATCGGCTTCACAGAAAATCATATCGATCTTGCACTTCGTGCTCGTTCGATATGCTTTTCTGTGGACCAAAGTCGATATATCTTTAGATTGACCTCATGAAAGGGCTAAATTTAGATAATATAGAAACAATTTACGCCATATGAAAAAAATATAACGTATATAAGAATTTTATCTTAATATTAAATACAACAATATGCATTTACATGTTTATACTATGTTTAAAACGTCTGTTTATCAAAGAAGAGTGACATAGACATTGAAAAATATGTAAATAATCATTTGCCACAAGTTATTATTTTTATAACTTATTTTCTGTATATTTTCGCTAAAATTTGAAACATCCTTTAATCTTACAAATGTCACTTTAATTCTTTGAATATAGGCGATCCTCGCCTTGATATGTCTGCAGTAGTAAAAACCAATTATGGTTCCATGAGTGGCCCAGATGTGAATGTTTCTGTGACTGTGCCAGTGATAGCAAACCCACCAATATCTCCATCAGGGATCACGTGGTCAGGTCCTTCAGCGGAGTCTATATTAACCAATTTAGATTTACAAAGAGATACTTCTATATACAAACAAATGATAATAAGCAGCATTCCTATTCCTGACCATAGAGCGTTCGGAAACTACTCACTGATGTACAGAGGAAAAACGATCATTGATATTACAATTAATGCCGAAGGTTGTACTCTTTAGCCCTGTTCACACGGAGAGTAAACTAATGCAAATTAAATTGTGTTAATACGACAGCTCAAACATAGCCAAATAATGCGATTTAATATTTCATTTCTACAAAAAGGCTATTCAGCAAGGTTATTTTGAAGTCATTTGTAAATCTTTACTCTCCGTTTGTACAGGGCATAACATTAATGTTTGAAATAAACTGAGTTCAAAAGTTTCTCAATGAGTTAATATCGGTCTCTTTGATCTATAATGATGTCAAAAATGTTGATTTAAAGTTGATATTATTTACTTTTGAGGCAATTAAAAGATTTTTGAAATTATTTTGAAAACGAAGCATTTTCATCGATTGCAAGGAATTTGAATTCATGTCATAAAGAATCCCTACAGCTAAATTCAATTAAATATCCTTTATAAGAAAAGACAAGGAACATAAAAATAATAGTATTCTACTTGTTACAGATATGGTTCCTTTGCTTCATATGAAAAACGACTCATACATTTAAAAAATTATTTGCTTCGTTTTATATTGAACATGGATTATAAAAGGGATTTTATTTTATCAAACATTCCTAACAATGGACCCCAATAAATATTTTTAAAACAATTCATTATTGGAATTCTTATTAATTTATAGCCAAAGCCTATCAATTAGATATTTACCTATGAAATTGAAATTTTACATTTTAAAATAGTTTTTTCAACATCATTTCTTATTTGACTTTTTCCCAAACCTAAAATTCATTTTTCTTTCATTTAATGATTGTATGATACTCAAAAATTATTTGTGCTTTCCCTTTTTGGGCATAAAACTTTTCCTTTCGTTGTACGACATCCATATAGAACAATGAATTGAATATCCCCTTACAGTATTCGGACATTTTCCCTTTGACTTATGAAATGCACTTGTGCTTTTACACTTTCATTATTTTTCATTCTGTAAGATAAACCTCAGCCACCTTTGAACTTTACCGGATATTCCTACGCTTCAGGATACATCAGTCTTACCTGGATATCAAACTTTAATGGCGGACCAGACCAAGTCTTCACCTTGTATCGTAAAGAAGGATCCAATTGGAGAGTTATTAAAAATATAACAGACCCGGGGGAAGGTGAAGTTGGATTTTATGACCTTGGACTGTTAAACACAGGTCAAGAATACTGGTTCCGGTTGGAGAGTTGTAATAGAATTAGCTGTTCCTCAAGACCTGCTGAAATAAAGGTCAGAGTTCAAGGTAATTAAATAAGTGGTTTGTAATATTTGTATCCTTCATTTATTAATCAATCTTATATTCTTTATATGCCACAGTGATTCAAACATAATGCATATTAAGTGTCT